AGAGTGGAGACGGACATTTCCCTGGGCTCTTCACTAATGCTGTATTGGTAAATATGTGTTGCATTGTTTCCATTATCATGGACAAATGCCACACTGCTCTTCCTAAAGCTTAAGTTCAACAGTCATATAATCCTACAAACTAGACTAAGCTTTCGCTATGATATTTGCGATTCTTCAATAATTGATGCGCATTGTTGAGTTCCAACTGTTGTTGCAACAAAACAACAACATTAACAAGAACAAAAAAAGAAAAAAAAAGTTTTATATTTAAAAATGTTGTGCCACGAGTTTCCCTTATTTCACAGGCCATGGGTCACAAAATAAACCAATAAGGATGGACTGAATCTCTGGCTCTGTTTAGGATGTGGATGTTTGAGAAGTTCAGGGTCTTCTCCAAACAATTATAGAAATATTAAAGAATGTTTATCAAAATGTTCTGTTTCTTTTTGTGCACTGTAAAAGTTCTGTCTTATTTTTGCACAGTGCATTTTGTATGTAAAAAACATTTTCTAGTTGCATTCATATTTTGGATGGCACATTAAAGTGAAGATAAAAAGGAGAATGAGTAGAGCATGGGAGAAGAGAGTGTACATTAAGTCATGATGCCTTGTGCTGGATTGTCAACAACCTCAGCAGAAGCTGAGAGTCCCCCGAGCCCAGGTTTTACAGGCTTAATTGAGTGTGGCCTAATTTGTATCTTACTTTTTCCCTGTAAAAGCACATAAATGCCCCAAGCGTTTTATTTCTATCCTGTCTTTTTTATTTCTTACCCATCCCACACTGTTTTGCTCCTATTCTGTTGCCTTTCCCTCCCACCCTGTCAGCCTTTCCTCTCATGTCCCCTTTTGCTGTGATAGAGACATTCACCACTGCTTGACTGGTAGAGGAGGCTGTATTCAATAGTTGTAAGCTCTCACTGTTTAAGCTTATAGAGAATGCTTTTAAAAACATTATGAGGTGCATTAAACTCCTCCATGGTTCCTAACGCTTTTAATGAAATGTGCACAACCAAAGCACACATTTGGTTAAAATGTGGGCAGAAATGTTCAATGACCCTTTTTTCCCTGTTTGCTTTAGCTTGATGAAATAATTTAGATATATACTTTACTAATGGGCCCCTAAAAGGGGTTTACTTTGTCAGCATCTTTAATTTAATACAACCAGGTTTGAACCTAAACAAGACAATAGAAAATGTTTTGACCATGGTCTAAATCCTTTATCTGAACATCACATTGTTCTATCTATAACAGTATATAGCATACATTTTTTTTTTTCATTTTTGCACAGAATCACATGGACAACTATTTACAACTATCCACAAAAAGTACCTCTAAATAAACATTGCCATTCAATTTATTTTTTCTTTTTTTATTTTTTACTTTTAAGTTTATAAATATTCAGTCCATATGCAAAGAAAAGGAAGCTCTATGGTAGGGCACAGGGGTGAGAAATTAATTGCCTTTGCAAATAATAGCAATTTAACCAAATCCAATTTTCCCATTGCAGAAGAACTCAGTTTTAATCATTACGTTTAGCAGAAGTAAGATATTGACCTTCTAACTCCAGCCCTTTAGGCATCGGGAATTAAAGTGAGTTTTTCACCACACAAAAGGGAAGAGAAAGTTGCAGCTAATGCGTAGATCCATGCATGCAAGTAAACACACTTTCCACACTCCAGTAACAGCAAAGTCATATGACGATGACCTCTGGACAAGAAAGCCATCAAGGTCATGAAAGCAGTGAAACTCCTGAGGGAAACATCTACCGTATTTTCAGGGTTATAAGCCACTACTTTTTCCCCACGCTTTGAACCATGCGGCTTAAAGGGGACATGGCTTTTCTGTGGATTTTTCCTAACCGCCAGAGAGGAAGTCAAAGTTGGAAATGAAATAATGAGGGGCTTATTTTCATTTAGCACATGAACAGGCTAGCAGCACGCAAGACAGAGAACAAATTTCCCAAATTCACACATTTTTACATTTATTTGCCGCATTAAAGCTGCCGAACCAATGAAAAGACTTGGCTCAACTCATGCAGAGCTGAAATAAAGAGCTGAAGAAGCCCCATCTTTCAGAAGAAGCTTGTGGGAGCTAGCATTCTTCTTTGTCCCTACACCAGGGGCTATATATAGAGCTCCCCCTATAGGTTTGATGGGAGACAGTTCAGTAGATATCGGCGCCTTATAGCCCGGTGTTTACATTTTTTTCTAAAAAAGTAGTGGGCACGGCTATAGTCCGGAACATAATATACATGCTTGTGGTTAATCTGAATAAAATCGCAATATTGGTTGAAAAAATACCACAATTTTATTTTTGGAAGGGTCGTTTAACCTCAAGTAGGGAAGCTACCAATACCAGGAGCCATCAAGGATACTTAAAAGATACTTAAAAAAATACTTAAAAAATATATATACAAGTATCAGATTATTTAAATATGCTATAGGGATATGGTTGCTAAATAGATAAAATAAGCAACACATCAGTAGATAGAAAAGAAAAAGGTATGTTCTAAGAAATATATGCATGGGATTCACAGAGTGGCAATTCATATGCTTTTAATTTGGCAATGCAATATATTGCAGGATTTCCAGCTTAGAATAAAAACTGTCTTTAACATTTTATGGGTTAATGCAGTAATACTATCATCATCATTTATTGCTAATTATGTTATACCTTACAAAAATAAACCAAAATATTTTGAAAAGCTGCTGAGATCTGTTAAAACATAGTTAAAACATTTTACTTAAATTGAGTAGGAGATCAGAACCAGAAGACACATTAGTATCTAGTAGACATTTTTTCTTCCTGCTACTACTACACTTGCCAGGGTGACAAATCAGATTTGAGGTGGTATTTGCCAAAATATTGTAACTGTAATGAAGCCGTAGATTTTGTCACTGAGAAATTTGCAAACAGTGTGTATTACATCAATTCAAGGGGCTTTTATCTTAAAAATAAACTTAAATATTTTCTGCTTATTTATTAACTTCTTTTATAAAATGGGAAAGTTATTTCTTTAATTTAATAATTAAAGATTTACAGTGACGGGAAATGATGTGACAGTGACAAAGATTGAGGAAATTACAGTCAGGAATTTGGAAAGGCTATTTCATTATTTGCATTACATCAAAATTCTTTCCAGTCCATTTATTTTTGTCTCTATACTGTGTCAGTTTGCCATGTTAATCTAAGCAGGGACAAAGCTGCCTGTCCACCACAAAATATATTTCATTATTGAATCCAGCTCAGCAGGAACATTTGGAAAACTAAAGGGACAGGAGCTCAAATTCTCACAGAGGGACCACATAGATTAAAGAAAACCCATTCAGTGGTAGAGTTCTGCCACAAGACTGGGTAAATAATAAAAGACTAGATTTAAATACAAAATGAACATATAATTTTAAAAGAAATTACCTCAGCCTAATGTTCCTCAGCCATTAAGAAAAAAAAGGAGGCTATAATTTCTTGTACGTACAGTGATATATCTGTTATTCTATACTCTGATATATATATATA